CTATGCCTTCATAAAGGACGTACTTTTCCTTTGTTTAAGGGTATTTGGGCAGTTTATTCTCTGTTATATTCTCAAGTGAACAATACATACAAGTACAGTACAGTATTTTCTGAGGAAACACTCGTACTTATTATTTTTAACCCCATTCCCGATAACCCGGCATTTTCACAAACTCGGCCACCCTTCGGTCCACATTAGGCCGAGTTTTCGAGGTTTTACTGTATTTTGTTGTAAGTTTTAATAATGATTTATTTTTAATAAACATTAAACATCTTTATACAGCATAAATAAAAAAAATAAGAATTTAAAATTCTTATAATATATTTTTTAGGTTTACTTTTTTCCTACATTTATATGCTTATTTGTAATTAATAAAGAAAGTGAAAAATTACTTTAATATTATTATATTATTATAAATGTTACACTGTGATATTGTATAAAATAAAAAGCAATTGCAAAATATTTCAGTTTGTTTTTTACAACGGTAATTTTTCTTTTTTATTTAAGTCTTATAATAATCTCAGAAGCAGACGGTGTGAAGAGATGACAACGCCCATAATAACCAGCCATTAGGATTCATATCAATTTCACTTTGAACATAAGTTTTTCTACATATTTGTGCTCATTGAATGTTAAATATATCAATAATTAAGCTTTATTCTTATTGTAATTAAAATGCTTTCTTATTGCTCTTTAAAATTCTTCATGAATTTTTTCATACGAAGAAAACTATTCATCAAGACAGAACAACTCTAAAGTGTAGCTATTATTAAGGTAATGTACAGTTAAAAACAACTAATGAAATTCAAATTGGCAAAATACAATTCAATAATAAAATGTGATAAATAATTTCATGTATAAGTTTACAAATGTATAAAAATGATCATCATTTAAACGGTGAAAATAAATTTTATCTATAAAATCAATCATTTGAAAGAATAATCAATGTTTCGGATTCATTTATCAAGCGTAAACGATTAATATATATTTATTTCAAGACAATATATCGTTTAAAAATAACGCAAACTCTCGATACTTTCGAGAGTTTGTGTTATTTTCGAGAGTTTGTGTTACTCTCTACGACAATAGTTCACGGAAATTACACATAAATGACGTAGTAGTTCCCAATCACGTGATACAGCTGTGTTATTCTGTTAAGAAACGTTTACATTTAAATTTAAATCTGTATTAAATGGAATTTATACCTGTAATATTTACCGTGTAACTGTTAGTACACCCTCCAACGTAGAGTCCATAGACTAAACAGCATAAAGACTAGACAAGTCTTATCTATAATAATTTGTGAATAAATGCGACCGTTATTTTTTCAATTTGTTGATTTGCTGGATGAAAAAGTGTTAATCAATTAGGATTACAATTTCTCCGGGTTTAACTCCGAGTTTCTGAGTTTAGAAGGTTTAGATCCGGACTCAGAGTTTAATAAAATTTAAGGACGAAAAGCCTGGAGACTAATAATTTGCATCAATAAATTTTTATTCATTTATTTATTTAATTTTTTGGGGAGTTTTTACAATAGATTATAAAATACTGTATAGTATTTCATCAAAGGATCTCGTGGTAGAGGATATAAACTATGAGGTTCCATTTCTCAATCACTTTTATGATTATAATTTGTGGAATTTTTTACTTAATTCGCATGAATGATACTACATAATAATTATTATTATTTTACTTCTAAGGAAGTTTATACAAAAATTATGATAAATGATCTTTTAATAAGTTTGAAATTTGTATTATTTAACTATGTATTTGTTGCGAATGATAAGTCAATTATATAAATAAAAGAATTTATAATTTGTATTTATTTGAAATTTAAAAAATTTGCAGCATTAATTTATGAGTTTAAAACAAATTTATTTTTAAAATTTTAAAATTATTAAAAACATATTGAATGTCTAAATGCTTTACATCTTATTTATATATAGTTTTATAGGTAATATATTCACATTTTTGTATAGTAAAAAAATTTAATGTCGATAAAGTTATATTTAATACACGTAAAATTATTTCTATTTCTAATTGATAAAATTAATTATTTATTTAAAGCAGCTATTCTGCTCCATCAATGCGAAATGATAATGTTTTTCGCATTAGATTTAAAATCTCTCTACATAAAGTAGAATGTCTGGTGTCTGTTCTCTAAATACTTCTAAATCCTTTGACTTATCTGGACCAATTTTTTTATAGTTATTCTCTAGGGCCTTCAGATAATACTGAATTTGATTGGATTGATAGAATAAGACAACCAACACTTGAGCGACCAACATGATAGCCCCAATATATAAATACTGTATCTGTACAAAAAACATATGTAATTTATATTAAAAAAACTGCGTTAGTCGTGTACATTTTTTTTATTTTAAGTAATATTTATGAGAAATATTAATTCATTATAATTATTATTTTATAAACACAATTTATGAGAGTAGCGTAATGAGTTCATATTCTAAAACATAAAGGTCTTCGGGTACAGAACATATACAGAACAATAACAGAAATAATCTCATATCTTAAAAACTAACATTTTCATTTTTAAAATCTTCTACTAAAAATTTAGTTAACAAAAATTAACTAAATGCTAATTAAAATAACTTAAATTAAAACTAACTAAAAATATGGTTCTGGTGATAAAATCATTTTCAATGTCAATCAAAAGTTGGATGTTTAACACTAAACTTCATGATTTTATCGTTTAATATATGTTTAAAAATGTATAAATCTGGACTTTTTTTATTTTAAAAACATTTATAAAAATTCCTCTTCGTCAATCAATGTTTTTGTCCTCTTTCCGGGATGATTTTTATGAGGAAGAGCTAACCGTAGTTTTTCCCAAAACCATCTCTCTCCCCAAACTAAATAAGTTTTTGTTTTTAGTAAAACTTGTAAATCTTTGTCCAGAGTACTTATGGGTGGTAAATGACCCTTCAAAACGAAAATAATACGATTGACTTTGTCTTCTAACATCTTATAGTATGCGCTATGAAGTTCTACTGGAAACCAAATGCTATTGAGAAATTGCTCGGACAGAATGATTATGGTTCGACGACTGCTGGAAACAGAATTAGCAATATTGGAACAGATTGGATTACCAGGAATCCAATCTCTTTCGTGAATACAAAGAAAGAATTTCGGCTCTTTTTCTTCTAACTCTTCGATTAGGGTCATAACAACATCTCTATCAGAAGTACTGTAACTAATGAAAGCATCATAATATTTATCCTCTTCCACTTCACTATCCTTAAACAGTAATTTGAATAAACCAGGTAAATGAGTATAAATATAAGCGAATACAACTTGCTTATTTCTGTAATAAATTGTTAGCAGCATACCAATAAGAATAAGTAAAACAATAGTAAAAACAGCCCAGATAGGAAGATAAGTTAAAACTTTTTCTGGACATAAAATATCATTGCTAAGATTTATTATCGGTTCTTGACCATATTCACATGTTATATCATTGATATCTGCAATTTTATTAGGCGAATTTAAGAATGCTTTAAAAGTTAAAGTCGAACATCCGCATTTCCAATTATTTCCACCTAAATAGGTCTTTATCCTAGTAAACAAACGTTGTGTATCTTCACTAATTATCCGGATTTTATTATTTCTTAAAGAAATTTTCTTTAGTCTAGGAGGAAGTTTAAGATTATCTAAAGTGCTGATGCTATTATTATCGAGATAAAGTTCGATTAAATTGAAATAAATAGAAGAATTAAGCGAATCCAAATATTTAAGATTATTATTTTGAAAATAAAGAATATTAGTTTCGTATGGTATCACGTCAGGTAACGATGTAAAATTAGAATTACTGCAATTAACTGTTATTTGCTGTAATATTACACTCTGATAACAAGTACAGGACGATGGGCAATTGTCTATAATTTCACATCTTATGTAAGACAACTGATCATCTGTACAATTATTTTCGTCTTCGCACATTAATGATTTATAAAAATTTCTTGAACACTTTAAATCGACAGGGCAAGAAGTAATATTCCGAAAATAATAATTTTCTATAGACCATGTTTTATCTTCGCATATTTCAACATTCAGATTAGGACTTTCTTCTTTCAATTTCCTTATAATATCCGAATTTAATCCACAGTTTTCATTAATACATATCTGCTTAACAGGATTAGGACAAAGCAAAATGCTTTTTTTAGGTGAATAATTAGATATAACTTTCTGATGTAAATTCTGTAGTCTTATAGTTCGTATGCCATTATATCTTATGTTATAGATGATAAAATTAGAAGTTAACGAAGGTATATTTGTCAATGAATTATAAGATATATCAATCATTTTTAAATCTTCCTGACAGAGCTTTAAAATATTATTTGCACTTCTAGAATTTAAGCAGTTATTTGATAAATTTAAATTCTGTATAGAATTAAATAGATTTGATTTTGTAAATGAAGAATTATCGAAATTTTCAATGTTATTAAATTGAAGATTTAAACGTATTAACTCTGGTAGATTAAATACTTCCATAGATAATGTTGAAAATTTATTGAAAGATAAATCTAGATGTTTTAATTCTATTAAATCTTTAAAAAATCCATCACTCAATGTTGTTAATTCGTTATGATCCAATAAAAGAATTCTCAATCTACGAAAACCCCAAAGTACTTCTATATCAAGTCTACTTATTCTATTTCTGCTAAGTATCAATTCTCTAACTTGAACGATTTCGTCGTCATATTTTTTAAAATAATTTCCACTGATCTTAACGATATTACAATCGACCATTGTCAAAGATATAAGAGAATATAATATATTCTCTCCTTCTAGATTCTTCATGTTTTTATTAAAGTCGCTTTTAATGTATGTAATCAATTTTGATGATTCAAATAATTTATTTGGAAAATGTAATATCTGGTTATGACTGATATCTAGATAAGTTAATTTATTTGTTTTTACTAAATATTCTGATGGATTTCTTTTTACAATTTCAACAGTTAATAACATACCATATGCACCTTTCAAATATTTCAGTAAAAATTCATTCGAAATGTTTCTGAATTTAAACAATTCACCATAAGTTGTTTGCAATGGATCTTCGATGAAAGATAAATTAAGTTCTTTTAGTTTATTATTATTTAAATAAAGAAATTGAAGATCTATCGTATTAGGAAATACAGTATAATCCATACTTTGTAGTAAATTATGACTGGCATCTAAATAAACCAATTTGAAATTTTTCGAAAAGAGATTTTTCGGAAAAGTAGTTAATTTGTTATTCTTCATTGAAACGTACTTCAGATTTATTAAAGGATAAAATATTTCACTGGGTAATTCTTCTAATAAGTTGGAATAAATCGTGATATTAGTCAAATTGAAATTATTAAGAAATAATCCTCCAGGCAGCCGGGTTAATCTGTTGTTAGACAACGTTAACGAATTCAATTCTGTTAAATTGTCTAAAACACCATCAGAAATATTCTTCATTTCGTTATTGCTTAATATTAAATCTTGCACATTTTTTAAATTAAGAAATGATTTTTTATGAAGATTTACCATATCGTTTCCAGATAGATCTAAATAAGTTGCATTCAAAAATTTGTAAGAAGTCGATGAAAATTGGTTCATATAACAAGATAATCTTACGTCATTTGCCGAAAATATATCGTGCGTTATATTTAGATTGTGTATAGAAGATGTAATATCTTCAATAATATTCTGTGCAGAATAATTATTTTTTCTTGTATCTTGTAAACAAATAAGTTGAAATCGATTTTGAGCACTTTCGTAAATTGCTTTAAATATATTACTATATTCACAATATATCAAAATATCATCAATGTCTTCATATTTCAAGTTAGAAGTATAATCACTATTACTTTTCCTTGAAATTTTCAAAGTTTGGCGTGTACACTTTAATTTTTCATTCGTAGCGAGACAATTGAAAGAATATTTTGACTTCAAGAAAATCCAAAGTACCAACAACAGCAGGAATTTCATTTTAAAGATGATTAGACGTTCGTCACATTACTTTTATTCTGAAAAAAATCAACTTCAATTTATCAAACATTCATTAAAAATACAGTAGAGCGTCGATTATCCGAAAGTCAATCATCCGAAAGAATTCCAGTCGGCAAATTTAAATTTTCGCCAGTGCTGTGGCGCTGCAATCTTTGCCTGTCTTGGGCTACTCAAATATTTTACGTTTTTGATACTAAATTCACTTCTGAAGTATAATTTTTTATTGTTTTTATATTTTTCAATATATTTATTTTGTTCGTACAAAATAAAAAAATAATTTTTAACAATACAATAGTCTTCATTAGGCTTAACATCGATGAATATTCAACGCGAAGCGACACGCAATGAAGAAAAATGTCAAGATAAGATAAATTAATATATTTTTTCATGCATAATCGGTTATCCGAAACATCGATCTTCCGAACAACCCCAGTCCCCAATTGATTCGGATAATCGACGTTCTACTGTAATTAGTTTTTTAACAGACTTACAAACATTTTTATTTATAAATACTTTTAAATTTAATTACGAAAAGGGAAAAGTCATGTAATAGTAAAAAATCGGAAGAAATAAATATCCTGTATTGTGAAATTATATCCGATGTTTTCTTGTTATTCATCGCTTTTTATATATATATAAATGCCGAGTCATTATTAAGCAATTAATTTCGTTATGAATTTAAATAAACCTTGGTATTGCTTTTTTATTTGCTATTGAAATTGCCTGAAGGATTTTCATGGTATAAAACAGTGATGCCCAAACTACGATTCCGAATTAATATTTTTGACACCGCTTTTAAATGATAGAAATAGGCCTACTTTTTATATATTAAATACAAAATACTTATGCCCAGCTTACCTAAGACTCATGCACAATTTGGCCCGCCAATCGATAAGTTTCGGCATCGCTGGTATAAAATATTAATACAAGAATATGTAATATCATTAATAATTATTTCATAGAAGTTTTTCTAAATATTCTTAGTATATTTAATCGTAAATTTGGTTATTTAATTATAGTACAATCTGTCAAATAAATTATTAAAATTATTCAATAAGAAATATTATACGTAACAATGAATATTAAAACTTGACGTATGACGACATCGTTGACGTCAATATTCTTATTACACAAGCAATATTTATTTTTCTCTTTGATTTTTATTGTAATATAATTACTTTAAGTTATATTTTAAATATAAATAATATATAAAATATTTATAAATAAATAACATAAAATGATAATAATTATCGAATGGTGTTTCCGAATGTAGTTTATTCCTATCAGTCGTAATATAATTGTTATTTATATATGAATGATTTAATTTAAAATTAAATATTAAATTATACATTATTATTATTATTATTATTATTAAAATTTGAAATTTGCTAACTTACGAGATTACGCAAAAATGAAGGAATAGATGTTTCAAATTAACAATTATTGTTTATTTTGGGCACAAATAGGCTTTATTTCTGCATACACACCATGAGTTCGGCTGAACCCACAATGGTGAAGGACGAGACTCGACATATCCGGAACGTGAGTTTACACTTTCGACATGTTTTGGGTCAATGAATGAGTTTTCAACCAATAGTAAGACGACGTGGGTGTGCCAGACTCTGACGTAGTTCCAATGTAAATATTGTAATCACGTTATCAAAGATAATGGTTGTTTGTTTCGCTTGAATACTGGTTAAGGTTTTGCTTGATAAGAACTCTCTCGAATTTTAGAATGCAAATAAGAAGCTAAACAGTATTTTAGGAGGTAATACATCGCTGTACAACTGTTTGAAGTATATAAGAAAAACGTTGTTACGCGTAAAGAGATATTTTTATACGATTTTCGTAAAAATAATTTTGGATTGTTTGTTACTACAAAAATTAAAACTGGAATGTTGAATACGATACGTCTAATAAGTAGAGGGCCAGACATTCGGGTCTCCGATTCGAACGAAAGTTGGTGAGTATGAAGCCCTGAACACAAACTAATCCTCCTCCAAATAATAGGATCCACTTCTCAAGCGTTTTCAAAAAAGGGCCCTCTGAAAATTGAGTGCTTAGCTTATAAGTCTTCCTTAGAACTCGATAGCCGAGTGAATAAGGTGTTAAATAAAAATTTTATTTCTTTATATTTATTTTCAGATAATTTCACTCTTGGTTAAATACTATGAAGAAATAAAAATTTTATTTAACGATGTACAAGAGTTCAATTTACAGCGACTTCGTTTTCGCTAAACAGGAAATGAAGTCGCTATTTTTAATCTCTTGTTCTATAAGCTTTAAACGTGAGGGAATAAAAATAGTAGTAATAACGCTAACGATACGGTAAAATAGTAAAATAAAATAAAGAGGATATGGTTTTACGTAGACTTAAGGTTGGAAAGTCTAATCTTTCTAATAAAATTGTTTTTAAATACCGGCTACCTCATTCATTTCTTCTTCCATCTCTGTAGTGCTCATTGGATCTTCTCTATAACAATTTTGTACTTATTTCCAAAGAACAAATAAAATAAAAGTGTGAAGGAACGAACCCATAACACTAATTCCGGTAAGTTATGTAGCACCTTATCCAATCAGCTATCGCCGTTCTATGGAAAAGTGAAACTTCTAACTTATAAGCTAAGCACTCAATTTTCAGAGGCACGTTTACGGAAACGCTTGAGAAGTGGATCCTGTTATTTGGAGGAGGAGCTATTTGTGTTTAGGGCTTCATACTCACTAACTTTCGTTCGAATCGGAGACCCGAATGTCTGGCTTCCTCCTTGTAAATCAATTTCTTCGACAAATAAAGTTAACCCCCTTCCTCCCATCCAGTGGAAACGTCATTTATTTATCTATAACAAAAATTGGATCACCCCATAAGGGATGATCCAATTTTTAAGAATAAGAAGTTACTTTTGGGCTAACTATTTGTGGAATGTGTGTGTATAATCTATTTAAAAGCTCTGCCCAATGTTTTTGTAAGAATAATAAATGTCAATTAGATATTACTATTTTAGATAGGCTTAATGATGATTATTCAATTAATGTATATATATATATATATATTTAATGTTTGGACGTGATCATTCGTCCTTGTAACACTTGATATAAGTTATAGGTTTTTCGTTTTTCTTTGTATAAGCATTTGTTATAAGCTTATAATTAGCCTTAATCAGAGAACATTTTCCGATAAAATTAAGTAGTTATTTAAATTTCAGGGTGTAATTTCAGTATTACTTAATATTATGACTTCAATTTATAATAATGAAAATGAGTAATTTTCCTGAATTATGTGCAAAGATAAAAATTCATTATAGATTGTTAAGTTTACAAAAAATAATTTAATTATTAATATTTATTTTGTATTTTACATAGGTTATCTCAGCTTCATGTTATTACCCTAATAATGCAGGATATAAACACGTATTGGCACCTTTATATGGATTATTAGATCACAGTCACCATAAATTGTACAGTACATAATTTTAGCCCCTTACAACTAACATATTCAAATTTAAATAATTTAATTTTTTTTTCTTTTTAAAATGTAAAAATGCAATTTCTAATCTTTCATTTAATCAAAACAGCCACGATGGTATTTCCACTGTTCTTTCCCCTATTGCTCCTACTTTTTTATCTAAAGCTTATCGTGGAATTTATTTATTAGTACAAGGACCTCTTACATACGGGCATAATCAGTTACCGACCAATAAATTATGTTAAAAATCCAGCAGCGAGTTGCTTAACTTTCCCGGCAACATTTAAAATTTTGTTGGCGCTATCTGTTATGATATTTTATTTTAAAACTTTTTATATTTTTAATTATTATAAAATGTTAAAACGCTTAATTTTAAGGGTAGAGATTGGTTTTTATAAAGTATTGTAAATGTTAATAACAAGTAACATCGTCATTAAATCCGACCCTACTCGAGATATGGCACACGACTCACCTCTATCTCCCACCCCTCGACATTTAACCTTCACAAAAGATTCAATATATTTAATATTTAAATCAAGCTAGCAATATTTCATTAGTCGTGACCTAAAAAAATGATCTATACCTAATTATTGGTGATTTAGATAAAATGAAAACGTGTCAACGATTGAATTTTTATTGTAACAAGCATTAATGTATCTTCTATGTAATTATATTAATTTCAAACGTTAAATTTCAATATAAATCTACTTACTTAATGCGCGATCTCTTGTATATATTATAAATTTTGAAAATTAAAATTAGTCTTGAACTAGGAACGTAGATCTTATCTTACTAATTAGACTGAAGTGACTTCGCTAGATAACGTCATCCTCCCTAGAAGAATTCGTTATCAGGCTTTCAGTGAAGGTAATGTTGCTCAAAAACATATTGAAAGTGTAAACATGTATCCGAGATAAAACCGCGCATAAAAAATTCATGAGGTTTTGCCACCATCCGGATTCGATTCCGGGTTCCCCAGAGAGATAGGCTCATCAATATTAATTTATAAAAAGCATATAAATTAATATTTAAATTATAAAATAATAAATAGTTTCGTATAAAACTACATTAATTTATTTACCTGTTATTTCGAATTTTTTGAAGATTGTGATATTAGTTATTTGAACCGATGTAAGCTGCAACACGAAGAGAAAATGTGTTTTTATTTATTAATTAATATGGCTATTTGTAATACTTTGTTAATATAAGAAAAATATTGAATTGTACATTGTTCGAATACTGTATTACAATTTTTCATTTGTCACGAACTTCCTGTTGAAAAATGCTAATATAATGATGACAATATTTATAAATTATAAAACGCCTTAACTTGACTTTTCAATTCATTTAACTTTCATTTTCGTGTGTGATATAATTGATAATATGAATAATAACAAGATTAGATTATTTTTAAAATATATTTTATAAGAATGTAATATTGTTAAATTTATTTTTATACATGATATTTGAAATACTGTAGTCGACGTATTGCTTGTAAGTAACGATATATATGAATTAATTATTAATTATTTTATGTTAAGACACCAATTCATTAGTGTAACATGTCTCAATTTTGTCCTATTACGAACAAACCAGGTTAGGATAGGATTGAAGAACGAGAAACGAATGGCCGAGTGGTTAAGATGCCAACCTGTTACTTTGAGGACCTGAGAAGGAATCAAACGCTTCGTAAAACCCCAAGAATTTTTCGGGGAGGTCCATCCTGGATATGGCTTCCAGTGACCGATAAAAATAATAAAAGCCATTAACAACTGATCCATTCGAATTCAATCCTTGGTACCCCAAAGCGATAGGCTGTCCCCTTAATCTCTTGGCCATCCGGCCAATATGACAAGAGATTTGGGGAACAAAGTTTTGGAATTAACCGGGGAAGACTCGAGAATTGAAAACTTTCAAGAAATAAACAACGAATATAATTCGAGAAAGTAATGAGAATAAGGTAACATTGGGCCCGACAATTTGCCCTGTAGTTATAGTTAGTAACTATTGTAAATAGTACCGAGTATTCGAAAACAAGTCAATTAACATGTTGGTAATGAAGTTAACGGTCGATTAGAGCATTAAAATTCCTCAAGAAACCGGATCACAAAATTGCTTGATCTCTATATTTCAGTAAAAGAGGAAGAGATCAGACGTGTGAGAGCTCATAAGGATCGCATCCGAGAAGTACTCAAATCCCTAATACCAGTTATTGGCTTAATATAATAAGCGTGGTATGTATATATTATACTACGAAATAGCAGCCGGATGGCAGCCTACCGCTCTGGGGGACCCGGGTTCGGATCCGAACCCGGTCCGTGGTCCGTGTTCCGTGATCCGTTCAGATATGTCGGGCCCCGTCCCTCACCACCCTGCAGCCCCATTGTGGGCCTGGCCGAACCCATAATGGGCTTGCAAAAAGAGGACCTCTTAGTGCCCACAGAGCGGAAAGAGTTTTAAAAAAAATACTACGAAATGACAGACGGAAACAATCAAAC